TGTCTCAGTCTGGTACGGAAACTGCTCTGTCGCAGACCGTAAGGCGCTACAGCGGGTGGTAAAAACCGCCCAGCGCATCACAAGGTGTCCACTTCCTGCCATTGAGGATGTCCAAAGAAAACGCTGTCTGCGGCGAGCTCACGGCATCCTTAAAGACTCCTCCCACCCTGCCCAAAGACTGTTTACCCTCCTGCCCTCCGGCAGGCGCTTCAGAAGCCTCCGGACCAGAACCAGCAGACTGAGGAACAGCTTTTTCCCCAGAGCTGTTTCTCTACTGAACTCTACCCCCCGAACTCTGAACTCTGTCTCTCTCTCTCTCTCCCTCTCTCTCTCCGCCCCTGCTGACCCCCCCCTTTCCCCTGCATATCACCTCACACCCATCATCCCCCCACCACTCCTCTTGGTCACACACACACATCTCTCATCCACCTGTATTATTGTATTATAGTATGTTCATATTATGTCCATATTCTTTATATTATCTGTAAACTAGTATAGCATGCTCACTGCACCTTAATCTGTATATTATAATCCTAAGAATACACTTATATTCATAGCATTTATTTATATTTATAGCATCCCATTAATCCAGCCATCCATATATACCTAATAATTCACTTTTTTTAGTCTACATCTGTAAATTTTGTAATTACTGTACATAGCACAGACTCTTGCACTTTCTGCTTATTTGCACTTCTGGTGAGATGCCAAACCTCATTTCGTTGCTCTATACTTGTATATGTGTAATGACAATAAAGTTGAATCTCATCTCATCTCATCTCATCTCATCAGTCCATTGGGAGCTTTGCAAGTTTAGATCGGACGAAGGGAATGTAGTGCTGCATTCTAATCCAGCCTTTCTCCATAAGGTTCTCTCTGATCAAAAATATGAACTTTATTCTTTCTTCTCTCCACAAGAGGAGCTCAGGGGTGTAAATATTGTATATTTGTTTGTAGTGTCAGGATTGTAAGATTGATTATATTCTTCATGAGGTGTCTCACAGAGTCCTTGAACATGTTGAATAAGTTGCTGGGGGGTTAACATGCTAGAAACTAGGCTAGGTTACATTGTAACCCCGGTTCTCTGTGTGAAGAGACTATCTCTTAATCTTGAGGTTGCTCAGACTCAAGTGTTGATCAGGGAAAACTTAAGTGATATTGCACTGGTCTCATAAATGTATAGGATATCTGGGCAGTCGGCCTACAACTTATCTTGTGTATGTCAGTTATTCACGCTTTCAGGGGTGGATATTCCCTGTAAATACGGAATATGTAACTGGAGAGGTAGTCTCTCCGGTCACAGTTACAAAGCTACCTACAGGACATTCACCTAAGTAAGCTTTGAAATGTTGTGAAAGCCATGCAGTTTGGGGTGAAAGACTCACCCTTGAACTCTGGAACTAGGCAGTGACTCACATTTCCACCAGCAATAAATCATGATGAGCTTTATTTTGGACCACATATAATTGTATAGCATCAACAAATTCACCAACAGTGTCAGCAAACATCTTATGTGGGCATGATAGTAATCCAACATATCTTTAATGGCAGCCTCTGGTTTTGTGTTAAGGGATCTAAATTCAGGGATGTCATTGAGCATTTTAGGAACTTTAGTATTTAGATTTTTTTTCTACCTTCACTGTTAAACAAAAACAACATATACCCATAAAATTACATTAAAAGCACCTTTGATCATTCAAAAGAGTGAAGGTGTAAGGTAAGTGTTCATAAATAGTGAGCAGGTTGTTATAGCAGATTATTACAGGGCTGTGGTAAATAATTTCATATAGCAACAGTTTGCTGTCCCTTGATAGCAAGCTGTGAAGTGTTGAAGTTAGAGAAGTCTGCATGAATACATGGCTGCACCTGACCGACTGTTTCTAGCTTGTCAATGTCGAAGTCATTAGAATTAGGGTTTGTGTTTCCTATTTTTATGTGGCAATTTAAATGATATTCAAGCTTTAGGGCCAGTTACAGCATTTGCAGGCTTCTTGGAAGACCAGATTAGCAGGGCAGTTTTGGATCCAGGTGATGCCATTGGCACAGTTGTAAAACGAACCAGGGGCATCTGGTTTGGCATAAACACCACCAGTCTTTGTCGCGCAGAAGTTTTCTGGGACTGTGGATGAAGTTGTGACTGTAGGTCTGGGCTGAGGTTTGTTGTCAGGTTTTTCTTTGCTTGTAGATGGAGTCGCCTGATTTGGGGTTGTTTCCGTAGGGGAAAGGGGAGGTAGATCTGTGGAAAAAAAGTAACTTATTAGTATAATTGAAGTTAACAATAGTCAAGAAATAGATAACCTTTGGATTATATAATTATCTTTTAACCAGCTATATATAATTCTTTTGACCTGAAGCTAAAAGTAAGCGGAGATGGTTGATGAGTGGATAGTTTCCTTGTCCGCAGAACTGTCCATTAAAGTCATCCAGATCCAGAGCCCAGATGAAAGCTCCTCCAAATTGGTTGTCTTTTAGGTAACGCACCTGAACAAAAGCAACATTTTAACTTAACCTTCACATTGAACTTCCTTAGTAACCAAAATGTTTAAAAGACACATGACTACCTTGGTCTCAAAGCTTTCTTTGTTGTCAAATCCAACCCACTCGTTTTGATTTACAGCATATGGAACTTTCTGGTCCTGAATCAAGTAGACACTGGCCCCTTGGAGAAATGTGCAAATCTGAAACAACATTTAATTCAAATTTTACGATCAATTTATTTAAGCCGTGTGACTACAAGATCATGAATTTTGTCATCATTTTTGATTATTTCACCTCATAATAGGACCAGAAGCCGGCCTCCCTTGTAAAAGCACCAGCAGCAGCTGGACCACTGACAGGTGCTCCAACCTGACTGGACTGACCAGACAGTCTAAATGTTCTCCCGTATGTTGCAAAGCCCATGTTTAATTTTTCAACGGGAGTTCCTTTGTCCCGCCAATACCCCATGGCAAAGTCCTAAAATGTCAATGAAAAGTTGGACAGAAGTCATGTGGAAATGAAAAAATGCAATGGATAATATTGCACTCACTGAGGAAAAAGTCAGTTGGCATTAGAGGACTGTAAAGGATGTCATTACATTGATGATGGAGCTACTAAATTATTCCCTGTACTCACAGTATTTAAGTAAACATGGTCCCCGATGTCTTGAGATCCCTTGTATAATGGGCTATGATGTCCTGTCACAGTCTCCCAGGTGCCATGAAAATCATATGTCATTACATTAACAAAGTCCAGGTACCTGAAACAATGCAAGATGATGAAAGAGTAATAATGGAAACAATGTGAGTTGTAAAACTTTGGCTTACTTTGCCATCTCTGCGATTTCATAACCAGTATCAACGGTTCCTTTTCCAGCAGCCACAGCAGCAGAGATCAATAATCTGGCCTGCCCTGTTGCTCTTGCCTCAGCCTCATAACCCTCCAGGAGCTCCTGCACACCACAGAATCATGAGAAATGGACATCATGGCTTATGTTAAACATTAGTTAAACCCAAGTAACTCTGCGTCTTACCTTGCACAACAGTGTGAATCTCTGCTTGTCCTCCAGAGGACTTCCTCTTGCACCAGGATATTCCCAATCCAGATCGAGTCCATCAAAACTATATTTTCTCAGTAGTTTGATGGAAGACTGGATAAATGTATTTCTGTTTTGTTGCGTTGACACCATTGTAGTGAACCTAGGTATCATTTTGGGGAAGAAAAGTGCACCCATGAAGAATTAAATATACAGATCTTTATCCATTGTGTTTAAGATGAATATCTCACTTTTGTGTTCCAAAGTTCCAGCCTCCGACTGCCAACAGTGTTTTCAGGTTTTGACTCCTATGGGAGTACACAAATGAGTAAACATGCTTTGGTTCTTTTTCATACAGTTTAGCATAGTGTTTGAAAATTAAAGGCTGACCTCTGTTTGAGTCCGTTAAAAGATTTATAAAGTTCATCATCGTTCCATTCGATGGTGACCAACTCGTTTGCTTCATTAATACCAGCAAATGCGTAGATCAGGTGGGTACACAGGTTGGGATCAACATTTAGAGGCATGAACTTTCCATTGCCAGGTCGGTACTGGGACCAGTTGGTGAAATAACAAACCAGTCTGGTGGACGAGACTAAACATGAACAAACAAGTATGGTTTTATTCATCTTTGAGGAATAAACAATGTCAGGTCATTTATCAATTTTGGTCGCTTCTAAGTCCAACGAAAATTTACATTTCATATAAATTATGAACTCACCCAAACTTCCAAAGGAAAGCCAGAAACCTTTAAAATGACAGATTCATTAGAACACATCAAATATTTTCAAACTGTTTGAATAAATGTGATTTACCTGCAAGAAGAATGAACTTGCTCATGGTGTTTGTGCGTAGACAGAGTCCTGAAAAGCTTTCCTTCGTTGAAGATAAATTTACACAAAACATGATAATCATTAGCCAGGAACAAGTTGTTTGACCCAGAGTGTGTTTACAAAGCTGTTGCTTCATTTTAGTCATATAACTACAGTTGGTTTAAAAATTGGACCTGACAAATGTTGTTTGTTTTTGCTACATTTTTCAAACACCTAATTTCTTGTCTTGTGACGTTAAAGCATCTTCCACCTTTTAGATCTTTTAATAGAGGTTTGTGATAATAAGGGGGACATCAGGACAATTTTTTTTAGACTGACATGGTAGAGCTTTAGTGAATGTCAAGGGTTAGTGCCCTGCCAGAAAATAAAACCTCTTCTGACAAATCTCGAATCAGACACTCTTGTGCCTCAGTAGAGTTAGTAGTCAAGACCATAGAGACCATTTAGCTAAGAAGTATTCTCTCGATGTTGTACATAAGAACATCAGTTTATTGTCGAGTCTTTCCTTTGTTTTCAGTGCACTTACTGCTTTGTCACAATCATGCACGAAAAGGGGAATCAGACTTTTTTAATGTAAAGAAAAATACCATAATCAACATTAAAACAGTATTTAAAATAATCACAGAGTTTTGTTACATGAATGAGGTATTTATTTAAGCCCAGTCGCAGCATTTACACTTTTCACTAAACACAAGATTCGCTGGACATTTCTGGAGGTATGTGGTTTCGTGGACGCACTGATAGAAGGAGCCGCTCTCCTTGTCATTTGAGTAGAGGCCGTCTGTTTTCCCGCCACAGAAACCACTTCCAGGAGCAACTGCTGAGGTTGTAGTGTGAGCAGTGGTGGTTGTAGGAGCAGCGGTAGAAGCAGATGTTGCAGCAGGCGTGGTGTTGCCGTGGCCCGGGCGGCTCGTAGTGATCACAGGTGGACGTGTGGTTACAGGAGGTGAAGGTGGAAGGTCTGGCAATATAAAACATATTTTAAGTCAAGAGATTTTTTTCTTTATGTCCAGATGATTTCACTTTGACATGTGATCCAGGTGTTGGGGACCAGTTTACCTGAATTCAGAAGAGAGCGCAGATAACCAATGAGAGGATAGGGCCCTTGTCCACAGAAGGTTCCAGAGAAGTCATCCAGATCGAGAGCCCAGATGAAGGCTCCTCCATATTTGTTATCTTTCAGATACCTTGTCTGTGGAAAATCAGGAACAGAGAGTACTTTGGTTATTTACAGGTTTGCTATTTCAATACTGACAACTCTTACCAATGTAAAATATTTTTTATATTTATTTATTTTATTTTTGTATCTTTATTTTTTTACTTGTTCCAGAGACAAGTCAAGGATAGAAGCTGACTTTAAAAATATATTTTATTTTTTATTTTTTATGGAAAGCAGAGTGTCTGTTCATACATAAGATGAACATATAAAATGCTGTAAACTGGGTCAGTTACAAGAGAATTGAAAGTGCTACAGTTAAAAAATGTAAGTGGGTGTCACAATGCTGACACCATGAAACAGGACCAACACATTGCTTCATGCATGAGTAAAAAGCATAAAAAGATCTGCACACAATGCTGATTTAAAGTCAATGAAGTCACATTTCAAACTCAGATTTTTGTACATTGTCAAAATAAAATCACTCTATAAGAGCAGAATAAATGGTAAATGGTAGATGGACTTGAGCTTATATAGCGCTTTGAAATACGTGTATTGTAAATCATTTGTTTGAATGATGAATGAAAACTTTATCGCCCCTAGGAGAATTTGCCTTCCACTTAGAGCACAAAAACACAACGTATGTGACAAAAGATGCAAAAATCATATACAGGACTGCACATAAAAACCTAATCTGAAAAACTAACAAATGAAAATACATTAAAGCACTGATATAGGAATTTTAATAGCAAGTTCAAGTGTGCCAAGTTCAACCTGTTTTTCCATAGAGGTGTGGTGTCTCCTTTAAATCACAAGTTAAGTAATGTTATTGTGCAGCATCTGTTGAATAATTTTGGATGTGCACACTGCAGACTTTGTGTCAACATGGAGTTGGAGTTTCACCTCGAAAAAAATGTACACGCATGGCTACAAAAAGGAGTGGAATTATAAATTAAGCTGCACGACTGCAACCTATACCTACTATCTCTTTTAGGTGCTTCATGAACAACCACTTACAGAAGACTGAAAACCTGAGGCCATATTTGTCATCTTACAGTGCCACCTTCTGTTCATTCAAATGTATGAAATATTGTGTTTAACAGCTTTGTTGTTGTCATCTTTACTCAATGCCAAATCAATATTGTGATAGCAGGAACATAGAGAAAGTGATACATTGGCATTATAATTTTATCTCCATTGATGTGAACGCATATAAGTTCTTAATTACCTTGATTTCAAAGCTCTGCCTGTTGTCAAAGCCAACCCACTCATTTCCTTTAATAGCGTAGGGAACACTTTGCTCATCAATCCAGTGGATACTGCTTCCTTGGATGAAAGTGCAAATCTGTAGAATCAGAAGAAAAATATACTAAAACATCCTTAAAAATACTTTTGATATCTCAGTCTTTAACATCTCCCCATTTCATTAGAGTGTTGTACTAAATTGACATGTCTTTAAATGCTGCTTTCACTGACCTCATAGTAGGACCAGAATCCAGCTTCCCGGGTGTAAGGCCCAGCAGAGGCCGGTCCGCTGGCTGGTGCTCCAATACTGTGAGCCAGTGATGTTGTGCGAAATGTGCGACCATACGTAGGGAAACCAAGGATGAGCTTTTCCAGAGGAGCGCCCTTTTTTTCCCAGTAATTCATAGAAAAGTCCTGTGAGGTTAAATAAACACAGAGATTACATATAAAATGCAAAGAAATGTCATGTTACATTTCGTTACAAGAATAGGATTTTTTGGTTTTACTTACAACATTGTAGAAGATGTGTTCACCCTGATCCCCTGAGCTGACGTACAGAGGGCTGTTGTGACCTGTGAATGTGTCCCAGGCTCCGTGGTAGTCATAGGTCATGACATTTATAAAGTCCAAGAACCTATAAGACACAGCATGATGATGTGAGAAAATATAAAATACATTTGAAAAAACCCACCTATTTTTACACATTTTACACCACAAATAGGCTGAGAAGTTTATCATGTGTGAACTGTCCAAACTTTCACAAATGATGAATATCCCCAGACAATTCACACTTCCTTGCAATTTGTTGATACTCTTCTAAGGAAACCTTGATACACATCTGTATTTAATAATACACGTTTTATGCATTAAAATGTCATACGAGGAATGAACAGGATATTTTTGCATAAACTTTCCTTCTTTTTTTTCCCCCTAAGTTTACACATTTTATTAAAAAAAAGGGGACTTCTGTATGCATGCATTTGAATTTACAATCTACTTAAAGAGTTTACAGTAGAAGTACCTTTCTATAGTTGTGATTGTATCTGTCTAATTTCCACATATATTGAATTAGTCATTTGTTTTGGGGTGTTTATGACCCAAGTTACCAAAACCTACCATCAAGGAACTTATCAGGCTATCATTGTGTGAAATGCATAAATGTAGGTCTGTTTTTTACTTGAGTAGCTTTAACACCTTGTGATTGTTATTGTGACTACATTTCATTAATGTTAGTTTGCTTATTGCTCCCTACACAATCTGATGTGCATATAGCTACCCTACCTACCATTTATTTCTAGCACTTTGAGATTTGCTTCAAATGTAAAGTGCGTTATAAATAAATTGTATTTTTTTATTATTGTAATTAATATTACTCTAACTGCCCTTTTTTTCCTAAATGGCTAAATAGCCCTCCGTTACTGACACTCACTTTGAGACTTTAGCAATCTCGTATCCATTATCAATGTTTCCTTTCCCAGCAGCCACTGCAGCTGTGAGCAGCAGTCGTGGTCTTTTGGTCTCAGCTGCTTCTTTCTCAAAGGCAGCCAGTAATTCCTTTGAATAAAAAAGATAAATATCACCCTTACAATATTAACAAAGCAGTATATTTCAGAACACAATCCTTTTAGTTTTCGGTCTGTTCTGTTGAGATGTGAGGTGTCCAATGTCAAACTGACCCTGCAGAGCACTGTGAACCTCTTCTTGTCCTCTGGGGGGCTTCCTCGTGCTCCGGGGTACTCCCAGTCCAGGTCTAGCCCGTCAAAACCGTGCATTCTCAAGAATTTGATTGAAGACCTGATGAATGTCTGGCGGTTGGCAGAGGATGAAACCATGATGGTAAATCTGTCAACATTGAAAAAAATAAATACATTTCTAGCTTGTCTGTTGAAAATGTTAACATTTCATGAGATAATGTAATCAGTATAATCAGCTTCGTGGTTCATAGCTGTTGTGGACTTACTGTGGGGTTCCAAAGTTCCAGCCACCAACAGCCAGGAGAGTCTTCAGCTCGGGGTTTCTGAGCAAGACAGAAGCCAAAACATGAAAATTTACCAAGACTAGTTACAAAACAGGTCAGTTCAAAATAGTCTTTGTCATACCGTCGACATTTGTATTAAATGTAGGGGAGCATTCTGAATATTAAAAACAGTAAAGATTAACAAGAAATATTAAGGACACATTTCCAAAAATTAAAAAGGTATTTAGTGTTGCTGTACAAATAAAAAAGCTGTCCTTGGCTTATTGAGTAAATAGAAACAATTTAAACTGCATATTCCCTTAGCGAACCAGTTTTTAATTCAAAAATCTCCCTGTATGGAAAAATTGAATTTACCACTGACCCAAAGACACTTAAACATCCAAATGATCATGGCCGCTGGTGTAATAACTTGAAGATATGACTGAGGATAGATTGATACTAGAGGTGGAAACATTTCACCTTTTTTTGAGTCCGTTGAAAGATTTATAGAGGACGTCGTCGTTCCACTCATAAGTAGACAGTTCGTTAGAGGGGCTGATTATTGAGAAGGCGTAGATGAGGTGTGTGCAGAGGTTGGGGTCTACATTGGATGGCATGTATCTGCCAGCACCTGGCCTGTACTGGGACCAGTTGGTGAAGTAGCACACCAGTTTGGTAGAAGAAACTTCAAGAGAGGGTAAGAAATGATCATTCAATTTCTATTGTATTCAATTTTTCCAAGACATTTTCAGTGACATTTGGAAAGGTTAGAAGCTGAAATACATACCCAGTTGAAGGCACATCACAAGGGACAATCCTAAAAAAGACAAGACAGTTGATTTCAGTTTTTTCTCTTCACAAGATTACTACCTTTAAATAAGTGGAAAATAAAGTGTAGGAATGAAGGTTACCAGCTAAG